TAGACAAGCTCTCTTGCCAACAGTGGTCAGCTGTGCAGGTCTGGTTAAAACATAAAGACATTAAACATGATATTGTGGCTAATAAAATGAAACCAAAATAACAGATGTGAAGGTAGTACTTTTATAAATGAAATGATCAACAAAGGGATGGTTGATTGGATTGTGTAAATTAATGGATGGCTAAATGGATGAATAAATTATACATAAACGAAACAAATGAGCAAACGCAATAATTTGACTTTTATAAAGAAAGAAAACAAGAGATGAATTAGAAATTTAAACCCCACTTGATTTTTCTTATCGGGGATGACTAAATGGAAAAATGAATGCATACGCACATGTAAATGGCAAGTGAATGAAATGATCAACCAATTGATGTGTGGATACCTGGGTGGGTGACTGAATGGATAAATGAATGAATGAACAAAAGGAAAAAATGAAATGAAAAAAAAATTTACTGGTAGTGAGTAAATCCAAGTGTTGGTAAGTCTTTGTACTGATCTGCAAACTTTGAAAGTCTCTGGATACAACGAGCAACCTGATAACAAAGCAAAAACATTAAGAGCACATCAGTATTATAAAGCATGCTTTAGATCAATCACTGCTTTCAATAGTCTTCTTCACAGTTTTGTTTGCCATCTTGAAAGGTAATTATGCCTTTGTATTAAAGCGAGACGACCATTGAGTGTACAATCATAGAAACCTTCTTTCACCTCAACAGCTGTCTTGCTTCAATGTAAAGGCACGGCTACCTTTCAAGATGGCGCATATGTAACCCTGAAGGAGACTATTCACACTTACCTTTGGAAGAATTATACTGAATGCATCTCTTAAAACAATCAGATCCTAAATACAAAMAAAAGCAATATAAATTAACTCTAGACAATAGAACACAAACCATAAATAAATAAAGCATCTAGTAAGTTACATAAATGTTTAAGTACTATAGAACATTTCATAGAGCAAACGCAGGAAAACCATGAAATAAAATCAAACTAAATACTAACAAATAGCGGCTATTTAGAGACAAATTGTCAGTATCAATGAACCAGAACGCAATAAAGATGACTGAAAAATGGTCCCATGTGGATCGATTCATCCAGCGATTTCAAGGAGAACTACAAACCATGAAGACAAAGACACAATACTATAAAGGCATCTGATAAGTTATGCCACTGTTATATGGCAAGTATTTTTTTCCAGTGCAATAACCCACATTGTATTTTGTTAACAAAGATATAGAATCAGCTTTGTCACAATATATCAAATGAGTAAAATGCCAATGACAAACAAGACATACAGTGTTATCCCCAACATAGCAAGATGTAGCACCCAAGTGAATGATGGGAGCAGCGCTTGGGCAGCAGACGCCAAATGTGTGAACATGAGCCATCACATCATGTCGTCTTTTCTTCTCTTCAGCAGCTGCCAAACTGTAGTCAATATTGGTGAGATTTGCCTCCATTTCTGATAACTGGCTTTCCTTGATATCTAAACCTAACTCCTAGAGGTACAAAATAGATAATTTAACACTTGTCATGGAGTCCTCAAAGTTCTGTGATAGTGTGATGGCTATAGTTTGGCACTGTGGGCTGTCCGGTGTAGAGATGGACACACCCTTCATTACCCCTCATTACATAGTCACCAGCTTGCCCTTGTTTTTTATTTCTGAGGGGTGGGGGTACAGAGAGAAAAGAAACATGTCATTTAAGGGATTTTCTCCCCTTTAATAGTGCAATTTTTTTTTTTTCAAATTCTTTGTGCTGCACAAAGGTTTTTAAATTCAATTTCTAAATCACCCCCTTCCTCTCAAAAGCCAAAGATTAAGCCACTATGGCAGATGCAAAGTCCAGAAAATCTCAAATCATTTTTGACAGGTCAGACTGATATTTTGACTGGATTTTTGGTCAGCCTTTATCCTACCTTGCTGTCGTTAAAGGTTTTTAAATTCAATTTCTAAATCACCCCCTTCCTCTCAAAAGCCAAAGATTAAGCCACTATGGCAGATGCAAAGTCCAGAAAATCTCAAATCATTTTTGACAGGTCAGACTGATATTTTGACTGGATTTTTGGTCAGCCTTTATCCTACCTTGCTGTCGTTAGGAATAAGAATAGGAATAAAAATGGGATTTTTGGTCAGCCTTTATCCTACCTTGCTGTCGTTAGGAATAAGAATAGGAATAAAAATGGGATTTTTGGTCAGCCTTTATCCTACCTTGCTGTCGTTAGGAATAAGAATAGGAATAAAAATGGGA